TAAATAATAATAATTATTTTGATATAGAAAAATTATTATACAATAAGCACTGGATCTTTTTTTTTTTTGGTAAATACTGGATCATGCTTTTGGAGAGAAACCACACCACCAGGCTCCAGCAGACAAGCGGGTCGATAGAAGAATACGACATTCCTCGTAATCATTGTATTGCCTCTCAAATTCTCTTTGTTCAAATTATTCAAAACATAAAAAAGATTGCACATGACTCTTCCGGTTAATTCACAGTTTACCAACTTGAGATGCATTTTCTCTTTCGCATTAATGGACTTGAAACCCGTTTTTTGACAATTTATTCAAAAAATAAATAAAAATAAAAAAGATCTCTCACTGTTCATTAGTGTGACCAAGCGGGTCGGTAGAAGAATACGACGTGTACTCGTAGTCCTTATATTGCCTCTCAAATTGTCTTTATTCAAATTATTCAAAACATAAAAAAGATCTCCCACCGTTCATTAGTGTGAACTTCTCTAAAGTTTAAACAGTGCGCTCGTGACTCTTTTCATAATTAATATTTAGCGCTAAACTAATACGGTCCCTCAACTTTTAGATTTATATTAAACTTTTCTTTCAATTTCAGAAAATACTAATATTATTTATAAACTTTAATTTATAATACCAAAATAATCCTCAAACTTTGAAAATAATACCAATTTAGTTTTTAAATTTTGAAGACAAGTGCTAGCTAAATCCTTAAGTTTTGACTACAAATATCAATATAATTTTTCAACTTTAATTATATATTAATCTAATATGTAAATAGAAATATAACAAGATGATAATATATAATTATTTAATTTTACATATTATTAATATTTAAAAAAACTGATTTTGTGAAAAATAATGAGTTACATGACACTTTTATTAATAAAAGGACTTTTATTATTTAACCATTAAAACTTAAAGATAATTTTAGTATTTTTTGAAGTTGAATGACAATTTTAATATAAATTTAAAAATTGAGGAACTAAATTAACATTTTAACCTCAACTTTATAGGATATTCGCTTTAAATTTGCTCTATAAAGGGAGAGGTGCTGGCTCTTTCACCACATTCTTATTTTTTTGGCACAAAGAGAGACTGCTAAGACATGGAGGAGGATATGGTTCTAACTAGAGTTCTACCTGGTAGTGCTATAACCACAGGTGTTCTTAGTGTCTCAAATCGGTATGTTGTCGCACGCATGCCTACAATTGAAGACGGACAGAATTCAGCATTGATGGTAGCAAGAGATGCTCGTCAAGAAGGCGTCATCCATCTTTTCAACTTCAGAATGAGGACGGATGGAGGGTATGCCAAGCAAACTCTAACTGGTATGAAGCAATTTTTTGACCTTCATGAATTGAAAGCTGGGGATCGAATTATGATCCATCTTGTGGAAGAAGAACTGAGGTTATTTGGAATTGTCATTCGTCATGGAGTTTATTCAATTGATTTTGAAGAGGGACCCGTGGCCTAATTAATTAGGGATGTTTATATTGGAATGTTTGTGGTTTTTTTTTTTTTTTTTTGTATATCTTTATGTGTTGATTCTCGTTGTTATAATCTGGTCTGTTACATTTTACCAAAAAAAAAAAAAATCTGGTCTGTTAAGTACGTTGAAAAATGAACCCTTAGATGGGGAGAGCCCTTTATAGCCCATCTAAGGGGTTTGTTTTGTTTGAATGTTCTGTTGTTAGAAAAAAGAAAAAAAAAAAAAGAAAAAAAGAAGGATGATTGTAAAATGTTCTGTTGATGTAATACATTTTGATGTGGAATGTTGTTTTAGTTTTCTACTCCCTCTATTCCATTATATTAGTCATTTTAATCTTCTTCATTATTATTAAGAAAATGATTAATTATTCTTATTTTCAGTATTTTTTTTAACATAGAAAAATCATCTTAGCCCTTAACTAGTGCTTATCTCTGATCCTACTCTAAAGCTGTTTCTTTCACCACTTTTGTCCATTTGTCTCCCATCCTGTTTTGCTGGTGAAAAAAATTTATCCGCAATTCCAATTTTCATTCCAATCCAATTCCACCTCTATTTTCATTTTAATACTGTCAAAATTTTCATTCAAATTTTATTTCTTCAGTTTTGTTCCCATCAAAAATTGTCTATAAAAACCGGCTTGAAGCTGTTGAGAACAGATGGGGTTTTACCGTTGTACATATGCGAACTACTTGACAGTGATTTGAAGGAGTGGAGCAAGAATTGGAAGATGTATAAAAGAACAACCACCAGAGTACAAGTTTGACTATTATGGAGTAAGGCATGCGGAGAAGAAACTTAGCAACTCCGTTTTTTTTCTTACTAGAGGTAATCCTCGTCATGATCTTCTTTCTTTCTTTCTGTTTCTGGTCGTGTCATATCTGTTTGAAGTTCATGGGTTCGAAGTCCGCACTCGCAGTTCACATAACATACAGAAAAGTATGGAGGACGAAAGCAGTCATGGTGCATGGTTCACTACCTTTTTTAGATATTGATCCGGAGAAAAATCCCAACGTCTGTCTTCTCTAAAACCATCTTTCTTTGTCTCTTTCATAGAAAACCATGTGAGTGGGGTAGTGTTGCCTTGCCGGGGCATAACAATCGTCACTTGATTTTCTGCAACCTATTTATGTCTTCATCAGTTATAGTCACGATATCTATATTTTGAATTCTTGTTAGTAAGATTTAAGAATAGATAAATAATTGTGGACGTAAACCTATTGCGACTTAATTTTTTTTTTTTTTTAGAACTTAAGAGCACACAAATAAAAGTTGAAGGGTTAGAGTTTTTTT